CCCACAAGGAAAGGGCATTCTCCCTCCCTGTATGTGACCCAGTGTCACCAGTGGGACAATTCTAGTAGTGGGACAATGCCTGCAAGGAAAGGGCATTCCCTCTCCCTGTACCTGTCCCAGTGCCTGCAGTGGGGTAGTGGGACAGTGCCCACAAGGAAAGGGCATTCTCCCTCCTTGTACATGACCCAGTGTCAGCAGTGGGACAGTTCTAGTAGTGGGACAGTGCCTGCAAGGAAAGGGCATTCTCTCTCCCTGTACCTGTCCCAGTGCCTGCAGTGGGGTAGTGGGACAGTGCCCACAAGGAAAGGGCATTCTCCCTCCTTGTACATGACCCAGTGTCAGCAGTGGGACAGTTCTAGTAGTGGGACAGTGCCTGCAAGGAAAGGGCATTCTCTCTCCCTGTACCTGTCCCAGTGTTAACAGTGGGATACTGCCCAGTAGTGGGACAGTGCTTTCAAGGAAAGGTCATTCCCTCTCCCTTTCTCTGACCCAGTGCCAGCAGTGGGGCAGTGGGACAGTGCCCACGAGCAAAAGGCATTCCTCCTCCCTGTACCTGTCCCAGTGCCAGCAGTGGGACAGGTACCAAAAGAAAAAGTCATTCCCCCTCCCTGTATCTGTCCCAGTGCCCAACAGTGGTGCAGTGCCCACAAGGAAAGGTCCTTCCCCCTCCCTGTACCTCCCTTACCTTTGTTAGACCTTCATGGTTTTCCAGGCTTGACTGTGAATCAAAGAACATCTCAAAAATGGGCTGTGAATCAGTATCTCAAACATTGGGAGAGCAGCTTGTTACACAGGCAGTGACAGGACAAGGAGGGGATGGATTTAAACTAAAAGAGGAAAGATTTAGGTTAAATATTAGAAAGGGATTCCTCTGGCAGAATTCCAGGTGGCACAGGCTGTCCAGTGAGTGAGGTGGTTGCTCCATCCCTGGCAGTGTTCGAAGGCAGGTTGGATGTGGTTTGGAGAACCTGATCTAGTGGAATGTGTCCCTGTGCATGGCACAGGAGTGGGATGAGATGGTGCTTAGGGTCCTTTCTAGCCCAAACCATTTTGGTTCCAGAAAACTTAGCAGACAAATCGCTTCCATGTTTAAATGTAACAACATTTAGAATTGAAGTAGTATTGAAATTTAGGGGAGGAAGAGAAATAAATGGTCCTTGCAGCAGAGCCCTGAACTGTTTGTCTGAGTTCAGGGGCACTTTGGAGTTGTCTGGGGTATAGAAGAGGTGGTTGTGCTCACTTTCCTGCAACAGACATGTTTTCTGATCTCCTCCTGCTTTTATAGCATCCATTGGGCTGACTGAGGATCAGAAGGAATTCCAAAAAGTTGCCCTTGATTTTGCTGCCAAGGAGATGGCTCCTTACATGGCTGAGTGGGATGAAAAGGTATGAGAGCCTCAGAAGAGTTGTTCTGCTCACTTTGTCCTCCCTTACCATGTTATGATCCTTGGGTCTCACTGAAGGGTTTCCTACTATAGCTCCTTGGTGCTGTCATGTCATCTGTAATGATTTTCATTGATGATGCTGCTGTAGCTGTGGTGGGAAGTCATCACAAAGACTCCGAAGCTTTCCTAGCCAGGTTATTCAATCACCTGCATCCTGGATTTACTCCTGAAGATGGGATGTATCTGTATAGGTATCCACCTCTTCCTTAACCCACCTGAATCACCTTAAACTCTGCAGGAGTGTGGGACTGGACTTGGTCACCCAGATGTACCGAAAGAGACTAAATACTGAGATTGAATTGGTGATGAATATTCACTTGGGATATCTCTGCCTGCCCCAACAGGAAATATTCCCAGTGGAGACCATGAGGAAGGCAGCCCAGCTGGGATTCGGTGGGATCTATGTGAAACCAGATGTTGGTGGCTCTGGATTGTCACGACTTGACACCTCCATCATCTTTGAAGCTTTGTCAACAGGATGTACCAGCACCACTGCTTACATGAGCATCCACAAGTGAGTGTGTCTGTGGAGTGTCAGCCTGGCTGGAAAACACAGCTGGTGTGTGGGCTCTAAATCCAGCTGGAAACAGCTCTCTTGGTGCTGCTTATTATTTACCTCCAGTAGACACACCCCTGTGAGGATCCCTTGATGGACATCAGCAAATAGGCCACAAGAACTGAGATGCCACCAAGAAGTAATTTTAGCTTTGTGGAATACAAGATGGGATTAAGTTCTGGATTTTGTTCCCTGCTCTTCCACTTAAGCTGTCTATAGATAGTAACCTGCCTGGAAAAAGCCTTTGTGCGTTGGCTGTGCTGTGACAGAGCCCAGAGGCACCACCTGATACCAGGGCCCTGTCCTGCTTGTACAGACCTGCTCAGTGATGGGCTCACTTGGCACAGAAAGCTGGAATGATGATGCCTCCTCCTTCCAAGTGCAGTTATCTGAAGAGAGAGTAGGGCTGAGCATGGCAGGGAGCACTGAGGCTATTAAATAGGAACCTGCTGTTCCAGCAGTGAATCTGTGGTGAATGGAAGGTGATCTTCCTCCTCCTCCTTCCATGACACCTCACTTTGTCCTGGTTTGAGCTGAAGCAATACACTTTCAGGCCTCAGGGCTTGTGGCTCAACTCCATGGAGCTTTGCTGTTCAGCCAGGGATGTTCTTGTATGACCTGCCTTCCTCCTCAGGCTGTGTTCACATCCTGTAATGCTGCTCCTTCTCTTCTCCTCCCAGCATGTGTGTGTGGATGATTGACACCTTTGGCAATGAGGAACAGCGGCACAAGTTCTGCCCATCACTCTGTAGCATGGAAAAATTTGCCTCTTACTGCCTGACTGAGCCAGGTGAGCATCCTCAAGCAGGAAACCTTCTCCTTTCCTATGCTCCTAGCATAGTTTAACTGGACATGAACATTGCATGGAGCTGGAGGTGAAAAGTTTCTTGTCATGTTCATTTGGGCAATCACTGAGACGTTGGGGAGGGGAAGATGATGATTGCTGAGATGCTTGTGGTACAAGCCCAGGAGTCAGTGGGTATGATCCCAGGGAGAATTTGTAGGCTTTGGATCCTCTGCTTCACTGGCTGCTTCCTTACCTCTCAAACAGGGAGTGGAAGTGATGCAGCTTCCCTGCTGACCTCAGCTCAGAAGAAAGGGGACAACTACGTCCTGAATGGCTCCAAGGTACCTCTTTGCTCCTGCTAAAGCTGCAATGCACACCGGGGCCTGGGTCTCACCATCCTTCCCATTCCCTACTATCTTCACACCTCTCCCAAGACAGGACATGCTCTGCAGAGGATTCACCTGAGCTTAGTACAGTTGGGTCCCTCCTGGTCCTCCTGGCCGTGGGGTCTTTGCCTTTCCGTCTTTGTACTCCAGTTGGTGCTGCAGGCTCAGGGTTAGCTTGGTTTTTTGTGCCCTTCTGCAGGCTTTCATCAGTGGGGGAGGTGACACCGATGTGTACGTGGTCATGTGTCGCACAGGAGGTCCAGGCCCCAAGGGCATCTCCTGCCTGGTGCTGGAGAAGGGGACACCAGGGCTCAGCTTTGGCAAGAAAGAGAAGAAGGTAAGAGGCTTGATTTGGACTTCCTATGTGCTTGAGGGAAGTGGCAGGAGAGATCACAGAATCGTTGAGGTTGGAAAAGATCTCTGAGATCATTGAGTCCAACCTGTGACCCATCACCACCTTGTCTACTAGACCAGAGCACTAAGTGCCATATCCAGTTGTTTCTGAAACACCTCCAGGGACAGTGACTCCACCACCTCCCTGGGCAGCACATTCCAATGCCTGACAATCCTCTCAGTGATGAAATACATCCTAATGTCCAACCTGAACCTCCTCTGGCATAGCTTGAGGCTATGTCCTCTTGTCCTGACTAGCTCACAAATGCAAAGCATTAGGGATCTATTGGAGAGCTTAAAAATGCAAAGCATTAGGGATCTATTGGATGAGACTGAAGTCCCAGCCTGGCATGGTTTTACCAAGCCAAATCCAGCTTTGGTGAAGTTTGCCCAATACCCATCTCTTTGGTAAGTGATTTTAGTCTCAGGAACATTGAGGTTCATTGGATCTGTGCCTCTCCTCAAATACATTCCAATCTCCACACTGAGGCCAAACCACACAGACCACAGGAGCTCTGTGGCAGCTCGGCAATGAGACTGAGAGGGGTTGAGAGCAGCTTGGGTGGTTCTCTGTGGGAGCTGGAGGTGTGCTGCTCCTCAGGCAGGCTGGAAGGTGCTCTGTTTTTTCCCAGGTAGGCTGGAATTCCCAACCAACTCGGGCTGTGATCTTCGAGGACTGTGTTGTCCCTGTGGGCAACCGCCTGGGAGCTGAAGGGCAAGGCTTCAGCATCGCCATGCAGGGGCTGAACGGAGGCAGGATAAACATTGGTGAGAGGGGCAGCTGAGGGCAAGGGGAGGAAGGCAGCAGCATCTTGTTGCCCATCTAAATGAGCTTCATATTCACTCTGTGTCCTTGTCTTCTCTCCCACCAGCTTCTTGTTCATTAGGAGCTGCTCACGCCTCCGTCCTGCTGACTCAGGAGCACCTCACTGTCCGCAAACAGTTTGGGGAACCCCTGGCAAACAATCAGGTAAACCTTCCATCAGCTCTGCACTCCAGAATGGTGCAATTCCTCATAGCCGGCTGAACAAGCAAAGGCCCCACCACCCAGGGGCAAAATCAGGAACATGCTCTTGCTGAGCAAAGAAGCGTGTGAAGCCTGAGCCCTGCCTGCAGGGAGTGGGGCTGTGGCTCAGGCTCCTCCGTGGATGTTGACCCAATGTCTCCTCTGTGCTGGCAGTACCTGCAGTTCAGGCTGGCAGAGATGGCCACGAGGCTGGTGGCAGCACGGCTGATGGTTCGCAACGCCGCGCGGGCGCTGCAGGAGGGACGGGAGGACGCGGCCGTGCTCTGCTCCATGGCCAAGCTCTTTGCCACCGATGAATGCTTCGTGGTAGGTTACTCAAACATCAGTTGTGTCATCACTGAAAGCTTGCAGACACCTCTTGGTGCCCAGGGTGTCAGGAATCATAGAATCATCAAGGTTGGAGGAGAACTCTAAGATCATCGTGTCCAACCATTACCCTGAAGATCTTTAGAACCATTAGGAAGAAGTTTGATGCTGTAGTGACCCAGACTTGAGCATGTCCACTGAGCCAGAAGCCTCATTTCAGGGACAGGATGTGTTGGAAGACACCCTGTGGAGGCTCCAGGATTAGCCTCTCCACAGTGCTTTCTACTCTTATTTCCTAGGGTCCCAAGTAGGGAGACAGGACAGGGAGTAGAGCATTTTGATTTCGAAAGGTTAACGTGCATATTGCAGGGTGAGCATTCCTAAGGAGCAAATGGTCTTTCCTAGACAACTGAAAAACATGTTACTCCTAAATGTCCCTGAAAAGGGAAAGCAAGAAGGGAGAAAAAGGCAAAGAAAACCTGCCCCTTGACACTCCCTAGATCAGTGTCATTTACAGAATCACAGGAGGAGTTGGAAGGGTCCCATAAGGGTCATTGAGTCCAGCCCTTGGCTCTGCACAGGACACCCCAAAAATCACACCCTGTGCCTGAAAGCATCATCCAAATACTCCTTGAGCTGTGTCAGGCTTGGGGCTGTAACCACTGCCCAAACACTCTTGAGAGAACCTTTTCCGAACATCCAACCTAACCCCTGACACAACCTCAGGCCATTCCCTCGGCTCCGGAAGCTATTTAGAAGCTATCCCATTTTCTCAGCACTCTGTATTTTTGCTGTTTGTCGGTTTCCATCCCAAATTGACAGATGGGGCAGAGGGAGTCGTGTTTCCATGGAAACCAACACGGGCCACTTCCCTGAGTGGCCACCAGGTGGCGATCGGGCGGTTCGGCACACAGAAATGCACCTAAAATCTCCTTATTCCCTGGAAATTCCCTAGAAATTCCCATTCCTGGGTGTTTTTTGTTCACATAAACGCGCCCCTAATGTGAAACAGCACTTACGTAACGTGATAACACCAGAGCAGCACTGAGACAGCAGAGCCTTGGCATCACAGCACGGTTTTAAGGGATGAGATGAGTTGACCAGGATAAAAACCAAGCCCAGGTTCCTGGGTTCTTACCAGGCTTTTGGCACTGCTGTGTCCTCGACAAGTCCCTTCAGCAGCGATGTTGTCCCCTCAGATCTGTAACCAGGCTCTGCAGATGCACGGCGGCTACGGCTACCTGAAGGATTACGCGGTGCAGCAGTTCGTGCGAGACGTCAGAGTCCACCAAATCCTGGAAGGTAAAAGAAACTCTTACCACCAGCGACTTGGCAGGGGTCAGGAGAGAAAGCCCCCTCCAGAGGCCCCCACCACTCTCTGATTCTTGGGTTTCAGAGTCCTGTTGATCTGAGCATGAAGTGCCCCTGCGTGCCCTGCGTGTGTGAGTCCCCTGGCCGGGAGCTCTGGGTGTGTTGGAGCAGTTACTGTCTATTTTAAGAGCCTTACAGCAGAGGAAGATATCTTGTTGTCATGTTAGCAGTGCCTCTGTCCAGTTTCATCCCATTACTCCTAGACATGTGTTGATTCTCCCTAACAATTCCTTTCCTGTGATTCTGCACTCTCTGATGTCATGTCCCTAACAGTGTTTGGCCTTTTCTAATCTCAGTTTGGCCTCCTAAGTACTTTGTTTTCACTCCTTTGAAACCCATTCGCCTACAACCAGTGTACCTGATAAGACACACACTTTTCCATACTGGGATCCCAGCACCCAAGCTCTGTGCTTGGGTGCTGGGATCAATCCAGCTCTGCTCAGTGCCTGCATCCTCCCAATGCCCAAACAAAAGAAGCACCAGCACCTGAAGAGTTTCCCAAGTAATGTGCTGGCACTTGGCAGTTCTGCTTTGGCCCAACACCTCCTAAATGCCTCCTCAGCTGGTGGGAAGAGCTTCTCTGTGGAGATCAAGCAAATCTGGCCCATCTCTTAACTGTCTTTCCCTTGCATCTTTGCTGCAGGTACCAACGAGGTCATGCGGATGATTGTGGCCAGGAGTCTGCTACAGGGCTGAAGCCAGGAGCCAGTTTCCAGCCTTCAAACTCCTTCACCTGTTACAGCTCAGCCTGTTTCCCTCCCCTGCTAACCAGCTCTCTCCCAGGGAGCGGAGAGGGGGATATCCCAGTGGAAACAGCCTTTCTGCCTTACACTGACTGGGAGCACAGCTGGATGCCACAGCTGCACTCTGTGCCTGGCAGAGCTGCTGGCACCAGGCTGGTGCATTGTGCAGCCTCAAGACATAAATCACAGTTGTGAATACAACCCTCTGTCTCCACATCTTGCTCCTTAGCCTGCTTGTCACCCATTCTCCTGGGAAAGAGAAGACACTAAACCTTCTGCTCTCCTCTGCCAAGCCAGGACTGGAGTGGAACCTCAGGCAGAGGTGCAGCCTGATCCCATAGGCTCAGTGGAATCTTTGTTTTGAGGGAATTGCTCTGCTTAAAAAAACTGAGTGCATCACTGGAAACAGGTGATCCACAGGTACTGCAGCTTTACCCACCTGCAGAGTGCAGTGGCTTCCTAACCCAGGGTGCCTCTTGTTTAGCTAGAATCACTCCTCTCCCTCTTTTTCCTTTCCTTGTGTCTTGACCACTGCTTGTTTTCAATATTCCCACCACCTCCTGGTGCTTAATCTCAAGCCTTTGTAGCACAGAAGTACAAATGAAAAACTAAGTTTCAGCACAGAAATATTATTTAACTCTGCTGCCTCAGATTTTTGGGAGCTAAGTAAGGGGAGTAAAAATTTGATAAATTATTTTTTTCCCCTTTGGGTTTGGAATCAATAAAGCAATGATGGAAATGTTATTGGAGTGGCAGTTGTGATAGTTTCCTTCTGTGGTATTTCAGGTGTAACAGGGAAGTTTTTGAAGAAGGGGTTGCAAAAAAGTTCTGTTTGAGGGGGTTTTTTTGTTAATGTCTCTGTTAACCTCTTCAAATCTACTACCTTAGGGAGTGGCTGTAGCTGCTGGGTGGCAGGAGGGGGTCTCTGTCCAGCGAGGAAGGGTCTTCATCCAGCAGGAGAGGGTCTTGGTCCAGGGTCCTTGCCTGGGGTCTCTCTCCAGGGTCTCTGTCTAGCAAGAAGGGTCTCAGGCTGGGGTCTCTCTCCGGGGTCCCTGCCCAGGGAATCTTTCTCCTGAGTCTCTCTTGGGGACCCCTCTCTCTTCTGGATCTCTCTCCTGGGTCCCTTTCCAGGCCTCCCTGTCCAGGGTCTCTCTCTCCTGGATCTCTCTCTGGGGTCCCTCCCTATAAGGTCTCTCTCCTGGGTATCTCTCTGCAGACCCTCCCCAAGGGTCTTTCCTCCTGGGGAGGGGAGTCCCTCTCAGGGGTGTCTCCCCTGGGTCTCTGCCCAGGAAAATCTCCCTCCTGGGATTTCTCCCAGAGATCTCTCTCTCTCTCTATCTCTGGTCTCTCTCCCCTTGGTCCCTGCCCAGGGAATCTCACTCCTGGGTCTCTCTTGGGGGTCCCTGCCCAAGGGTCTCTCTCTTAGGGGTCTCTCTCCTGGATATCTCTCTGGGGACCCTGCCTAGGGAATCTCTCTTCTGGGTCTCTCTCAGGGGTCCCTGCCCAGGTAATCTCTCTCCTGAGTCTCTCTCAGGGGTCCCTGCCTGAGGGTCTCCTGGAGTTTCTCTCTGGGGTCCTTGCCTGAGGGTCTCTCTCTTAGGGATCTCTCTCCTGGATATCTGGGGACCCTCCCCAAGGGTCTCTCTCCTGGGGAGGGGAGTCCCTCTCAGGGGTCTCTCCCCGGGGTCCCTGCCCAGGGAAATCTCCCTCCTGGGATTTCTCCCAGAGATATCTCTCTCTATATCTCTCTCTCTCCTGGGTTCCTGCCCGGGGAATCTCTCTTCTAGGATTTCTCCCAAATGTGTGTGTGTGTCTCTCTCTCTCTCAATCTCAGGTCCCTGCCCAGGGGATCTCTCTCCTGGATATCTCTGCAGACCCTCCCCAAGGGTCTTTCCTCCTGGGGAGGGGAGTCCCTCTTAGGGGTCTCTCCCCGGGGTCCCCTGCCCAGGGAATCTCTCTTCTAGGACTTCTCCCAAATGTGTGTGTCTCTTTCTCTCTCTTTTTCTCTCTCTCTGTCTCTCTGTGTCTGTCTGTCTCTCGGGTCCCTCCAGGACCCTTTAACCCATTCCCCTCTCTCACCTCTCCCTCTTACCCTTCGCCCGCGCCACT